TTTTAACAATTCCTTCGTAATTCCGGTGTTTTTTCACAATCTTTCGGGTTACGATGCGCATTTCATTATCGAACAGATTGCCAACGGTTTCGAGGGTAAAGTGGAATTGTTACCGTTGACCAAAGAAACGTACATTTCGTTTACGAAACACGTTCAGGGAACGTCGTCGGGAAAGGGACACAATTGTGTGAAGCTGCGATTTGTAGACTCGTGTAAGTTTTTAAGCGCCAGTCTCGCGCAATTGGTGTCGTATCTGAATAAGAACGAACTGCGAATAACACGGTCAGCGTTCTCGAATCTCAACGACGACGATTTCGAGATGCTCACGCGCAAGGGTGTGTTTCCTTATGAGTACGTCGATAGCGTCGATCGGTTACGCGAGACAGAATTACCGCCCCGCGAGGCCTTTTACAGTTCGTTGACTGGCGAGAACATCAGCGATAACGACTACGAGCATGCGGTCACTGTGTGGCGACGTTTCCGCATCGGTAATCTTGGCGAGTATAGTGACTTATATTTAAAAACGGACGTTTTACTGTTGGCCGATGTGTTTGAGAATTTTCGCGACAAATGCATGCGGAGTTACGATTTGGATCCCGCTCATTATTACACGTTACCAGGGTACACGTGGGATGCGATGCTAAAATACACAGGTGTGCGATTCGAACTGCTGACTGACATTGATATGCTCCTTTTTGTGGAACGCGGTGTACGCGGTGGTCTGAGTCAGTGCTCTCACAGATACGCGCGAGCCAACAATAAGTATCTTCCGTCGCACGATCCGTTAGAAGCATCGACGTATCTTATGTACTATGACGTAAATAATTTGTACGGATGGGCTATGCGTGAATCATTGCCGTACGCGCAGTTTCAATGGGTCGATGACACCAATGCGGAAAGTCTAGATGTAATGGCTGTGACTGCAGATTCCGATATCGGTTACATTCTTGAGGTGGATCTTTCGTATCCGCGCGAACTCCACGAGGCTCACGCGGATCTTCCATTTTGTCCGTTGCGCGCTGCACCTCCAGGCAAGGTCACCGACAAACTATTAGCGACGCTTTACGATAAGTCGCGTTACGTTATACACTATCGCAATTTGCAGCAATGTTTGCGTCATGGGATGCATTTACTTAAAGTTCATCGCGTTTTACGATTTGCACAAGCGCCGTGGCTGCGCGGATACATCGAATTGAATACGAGGTTTAGAATCTGTGCGAATAATGAATTCGAGAGAACTATGTATAAGCTTATGAATAACGCGGTGTACGGTAAGACCATGGAAAATGTGCGCGAGCACGTTGACGTGCGTCTTGTGACGTGTTGGGATGGACGGTATGGCGCAGAAGCGCTAATTTCTAGGCCGAATTTTCACAGTAGAAGCGTGTTTTCCGAAGATCTGATGGCCGTTGAGTTACGAAAACTCGAAGTGATGCTCAACAAACCGATATACGTTGGCATGGCCATCTTGGAGATAGCGAAAAC